AAATGGGTTGATATTTAAGATAGATCTAGCCGATGAGAAACTAGTAACAGGCCAACAGCTTTATATCTGATACAGCATCTCTGTGTGTTATTTGGGGCTGGCGCGGCTCTGGGACCTGGCCGGCAGGAAAACCTGCTCATAACAGACATGTGTTTGGCTTCTACACTTGCAGGTGTAAGCCGTATGCACGTGTAATTCCACCCCACCTTCAGGAAATATGAAAGGCCAGTAAAGTGATAGACACATATATTACAAGATTTAGTTAGTTTTGGAGCACAAATGGTCTCCAGGGAAGCTGCTTTCTGCTCATATCTCCAGTGGGTAGAAGATTATTCTATCTTGGAGAGAATTAGGAAAACCCTTCTGCTGTGGGCTGGTGGTCCTGGGTTCTATAAGAAAGCAGACTGCTGAATAAGCCAAGGGGAGCAAGCCAGTGAGCAGCACCCCTCCATGGCCTCTGCATCAACCCCTGCCTCCAGGATCCTGCTGTGTGTGTGTGTGTGTGTGTGTGTGTGTGTACATGTGTGTTCCTGTCCTGACTTCCTTCAGTGACAATCAGTGATGTGGAAATGTATGGTAAACAAACCCCTTCCTCCCCAGGTGGCTTTGGTCTTGGTGTTTTCATCACAGCAATGGGGACCCTAACTAAGATACTTACCAAATTCGAATGCTGTTATTCCTAGGGAGACAGACTCCTCATAAGGAAGAGTGGAGGTCTGTTGCTTGCGGGTATCGTCGAGTTAACTGTGTAAGGCTGGAAGTAGTTATCCTGTACCGCAGGTTCCTGGAACCTCACTTTCAGGTGGCTGAGGAATCAGTTGGCTCTGAAAGTGAATTTGCCTTTAGAAGCTTAGAAGGAGGAAGCGGTAAGGAAGAGCGTCGGAACCCGCGTTTCCCCGAGGCTGTGTGGAAAAGAAGGCAGCGTGGTGCTTCCTGTTTGCTTTCTTAAGCAGAGGAACCTGCTTGGTGTCAGCATGGGAGGAAAGCACCTTAGAGACGAAAGGGACACGTGTAGCAGAGAGGCTGCTCCCTCCAGGGATAGGACAGGGTTAGGGCTCTCGGGCCCTTCCCTTCACCTTGTCATCCGAAAACTCTTCCTCAGATGCGACATTCTAAAAGTGATGTGTACAACTTCCAAAACAACTTTATCACAGCCAGTCCCGGGCCCCCGGAGTTCTTAACTCGCTCCTTGACGCGCCTTGGCTCTTAAATTGTATTACATTATAACGAGAAGCTGGGGTTGGCAGTGAGCCTGTAATCCCAGCCCTTGGGAAGTGGATGCAGGAGGATCAGGAGTTCAAGGCCAACCTAGCCTGAGCTGCATAAGACCTGTCTCGACTTCCCTCCCCACATAAACAAAAACTAAGACATACGCATGTTTGTATATATTGTGTGGGGTGTGGAGACTTTGAGATAAAGAGAAAGAAAAGCATACGTAAGTCTATCTACAGATGGTCCCAAGCCTTCAGACCACATAAAGTATTCTTTGAGGAAGGCAATGGTGCAGCTCCTCCATCCCTCCGTCTTTACACACCCACGTGTGCTTGCAAGGGTTTCTGCTTTGTCTTCTCCGTACCCTCTCCCGAAGAGCTAATATTATTCATTTGAGAAACTCTTCCATTCACAAAGGGTTAAGGCAGCCAGCCCGCTCTGAGCTGTTAGTTTTATTTCCAGAGGAAAAACCCAATGGAAGTAGCCAGCTCTGCAATGTGCTGTAACAGAATGGTGTTGCGGTACCGTGCCTGAGGAATGGCGGAGGCCCCTCTTTGCCCTTCCCTTCACTGAGGTCAAAAGGTTAAATTTGTGTTAAGGATTGCAAAACTTTAAAAAAAAAAAAAGTCAAGGCCTCTTGACCTCAAGGTATGTTCTCGATCATGACCGTGGCCCCAGAAGCCAGGACAGGGCGTGGCTCATAAGCAGCACTTGAGATAATTTTTGTTTTGTTTTGAGACGGTGTCTAATGTAAGTATGGAAGCTCAGATTGCCGTAGGTTGGCCTCCTTATGCACATTGGCCTTGAACTCCTCATCTTTCTGCCTTCACCTCCTGGGATTAGCGGCCCGTCCCACTAAGCTTGGCTTTAGGGAAGTTTTAGTGGCTTTTGATTCCTCTCATGCCATCGGAGGGGTGTCTTTGGGACGACGACATTTTATTTTCGAGCACCTGTGCTTACATTTAGCTGTTGGAAAATGCTGGAAGCTTGGCGTCTGCATGAGTTAGGTGAGGATGGGGAGTGTCTTGATTCTCAGCTCATCCCTTAGACACACCCTGGCCTTGGGCTGGCTCGGAAGCAGTCACCTGCTTTAGCTTTAACGAGGCAGCTTCCACTCATCCAGCTTTCTGGAAACACACGCAGCTTCTGGAGCCGTAATGACTGTGGGTATCACTCTGCAGCTGCCAGAGGTTTTTCAGGCCAGGGGACTTCTCTTGCCAACTATTTCCTCCAAGAATATCTCCCTTTTATGTCTGCTCAGTCAGGAAGTGATAGCTACGTCTCATGTTCTTGGCCGTTTTGAAGAAGGCAGCGAGCGTGGTTAAGGGAACGGAAGGAGTAGGTGCTTAGCTCCAGACCAGCCACAGCGCTCTGAAGGCTTCATAGGATGGAAAGTGCCCGGTTACTTGACGCCCTGCCCTGTTCTGTCCTGGCATTCTCCCTCCTGGGTGATTCTGCAGACCCCTTAAGTCGTCCCTGGGTAGAATATATGGTTTTCTCAGGGGTGAGTCAGTGTGAATCTTTTTGTCGTTGGTCTCTTGCATTTCCTTTCTTCATGTGGTATCATCAACCACACTTTATCTTCTGCATTTTGTTTTCTTTGCCTTTGTGAGCTGTCGGTCCCTGAACTCCTTCTGCTGTCCCGAGGGACCCACTGTTGTGGGAGACACAAAGTGAGAGGTTCAGAGCAATAAGGTAGCAGCTTACAGAGTGCCACAGCTGGACAGCGGTGTGTCAGGTGTGGTGGGGTCATCTGTTAAGTCTTATAGAGACTTATGCATTGCAATGTTTTATAAGGCAAGTCATTCTAATGTAAGTTACATATGGGGATTGGTGTTCAAAACTTTATAGGTTAGCATACATGCTGGCTGGTTTTATGTTACCTTGACATAAGCTAGATTCATTGGAGAGGAGGGACCTTCAACGGAGGAAATGCTTCCGTAAGATTAGGTTGTGGGCAAGCCTGTAGGGAAATGTCAGCAAGTCATCACAACGGCTTGCTCGCTCTTGACACAATCCAGCATCCCATTGCTAAGAAAGCACCGTCTAAGACCACGCAGGCGTTCTGCGTGCTTGTGTCAGCCATGGCAGCAGCTAGCATGAATGATGTGCATAGATATGTATATACAATCAGTTATGTGGATCATGTCTCTGCATATGCGTGGACTGGCTGATAACCCCCACCATGGGAATCTGACCTCATGGAAGAAAACGTCTGAGGGCTTAAGAAGCAGAATCTTTTGTTAACTAAATACACCAGGAACCAGAGTTTCACGTTGTTTGGGCTTCTATTCAAAGTGAATGGGGTCCATGCATTCGGGAGATTCTGGTTAATTCCAGAACGAAAAAGGATGACAAGGATGTCCGCCACTGGCACACCTCCTTTTGGGAGAGTTACCGTGTGTGAATCTAACTCGCACACCCTCATAGTGTTTGTGGCAGCCAGCCAGAGCCCTTATAGCTCTGCCCTGGCAGGTCAGGTCCTGACTCTGAGTTAGATTTTCCCCCTGTGAGCAGAGAGGGTGTACAGCCTTTCCCTCTCGGAATTGTCCTAGAAACACTCATTAAACATGTTCATAGGCGCAATATGTATTTTTGTAACTCATTAATTTATTATTATTATTATTATTATTATTATTATTATTATTATTCAAGACAGCATTTCTCTGTGTATCCCTGGCTGTCCTGGAACTCACTCTGTAGACCAGGCTGGCCTCAAACTCTCATAGATGCACCTGCCTCTGCCTCCTAAGTGCTGGAATTAAAGGTGTGCGCCATCACACCTAGCTGGCCCCTGACCACTCTTAATAATTTGCTGTGTCCCGTTAAAACATTTCATTTTATGTGTATGTGTAATGTTCCAGAGTGTGCTTGTGTGCATGTGTGCAGGAGCCTGAGTGTTCCAGAAGAAGCATCAGGTTAGCCATAACTGGAGCCGTAGTCACAGTTGTGAGCCACTGTGAGGGTCCTGGGAATCAAACCTGGGTCCTCTTTAAGGGCAGTCAGTGTTTTTAACCACTGGGCCATCTCTCCAGCCCTCTGTCTCTGTGCATATCTAGAAGTGTGTGCACATGCACACGTACTATTAAATTATGTATTCTTTGACACTTTCATACTCAAATGCAATGTATTTATCATATCCAGCCCTAGCTTCCCCCTCACCTGATGTCACCTCTCCACCCTCCTATTACCCACGGAGTCCGTTAGTGCTGCCCACTAATTGTGCAAGAGTGTGGGGCCATCTACTCCAGCGTGGGCAGCCACTAGGGCCACACCTCTGAGGAAGAGTGACTGTCTCCCAGCAGCTGTCACCTGCTAAAGGTCTGCAGTTACGGGTGCGGCCTCGTGAGCCCCTCCCCTCTCCATACTTGGAGGAATAGTGGCTGGCTTGATCTCAGGAGTGTTATTTAAAAAAGAAAAAAAATATATATGTACATACACACACACACACACACACGCACGCACGCACGCACGCACGCACGCACGCACGCACGCAAGCTTGCTGGTTGGTCAGTGCTTATTCCTACAACATCCTAGAGGTCAGGGCATTTCCCTTGATGGGCTTTAGGTAGCTCAGCTGCTGTTGGTGGCTGTCAAGGTCAAAGCTGATCTAACAGGTTTCCCACCACTTAATGTTCCCTGTTCTTCCCACAGCCAGATCATTTCATGAATGTAGGACTCTCAAAGTTTCTGAGTGTTCCTACTGTAAATATTTACCCGATGTCCTTGTGCGGAGCGTGGCTTCTGAGTGTGATGACGCTAACCGTGTAAACATTCTTTCCCTCTAGGCTGGTGGATGACCGCTGTGTGGTACACCCAGAGGCAGGGAACCTTGCCAATCCCCCCAAGAAGTTCAGAGGTAAGGAGGGAATTGCAATAGGGTGACTTAAGAGGGAGCATTGTTCTGTGTCTGAAGGTACGTCATGTTAAAATGGAACCCGGTCATTTCCAGTTCCCCCACACGGTTTTGCTGCTGTTGAACTTTGAGGGATCGATGGTCAATAGTTATCTGAGCTTTGTTTTGCAGTGTCACATCTACACACTGATAAGAAACATTGGCAATTAATCATGAAAGATGACTTTTCAAGCCAGTTAATAAGAGCTAAATGCTACCTATTTAGGATTTCTGTGGTCCTCATATCACAAACGTTACAGTGTTTCACTGGCCGCTTGTTAATTATCTTTACAAAAGTCCCATGTTGCATGAATGTGGCTTTTAGGGTCGCACCTTGATGACGCGTGGTAACTAACGGTTGTCTTAGAGCTTCATTCCAAGTGAGCTCTTAGAAGTAGCTTCATGGTCTCCTTGGCTGAGAAATGAGTTGCAGCATCAGGTCGATTATACCTCGGCTGCTGCAAAAGAATTAATGGGACCTGTAGAACATTCTAGAAAACAGGAAGTAGTAATTGAAAAATTACAACAACATACAAACATTAAAAGCTAGGATCTGTATATAAGAGACATCATGTGATATTGATCTTTCTGAGCTGGAGTGCCTCACTTAATATATGTCTTAATTAGGTTTTCCTTCCTCCCTCCCTCCCTCCCTCCGTTCCTCCCTCTCTTTTCAGGACAGGGTTTCTCTGGGGAACCACCCTGGCTGTCCTGGCACTCACTCTGTAGACCAGGCTGGGCCTTGCATCACCACCTGCCAGGCTTTGGGGGAGGAAAGGATCTATTTTAGCTGACAACTCAATCTGTGCACTCAGTCACTGAAGGAATTCAGGGGTGGGATTCAAAGCAGGAGCTTGTGCAGCAGCCATGGAGGGAGCTGCTTGCTCCCCATGGCTTGCTCAGCCGGCTCTCTCTTATACAATCCAGGCCCACCTGCCCAGGGTTGGCACTGCTCAGTGGGCTGGACCCTCCCACACCAACTGCAGATGAAGGTAATGCTCTGGAGACTTCTTTACCGGCCAGTCTGCTGGAGCATTCCCTCAATTGTTGTTTTCTCTTCCCAGATAACTCTAGTTTGTGTCAAGTTTTCAAAGAATGAAACAAAAACCCTGGAAAACCCAACCAGGAGACTATAACAACAACAACAATAATAATATCTACATCCATCCATTCCCCTACAAGTTTCATGATTTCATTTTGTTTACGACCGAGTGAAATTCCTCTGTGTGTATATGCCACATCTCATCGTCCATTCGACTGTTGATGGGTACCGGGACCGCTCCATTTCCTGGCTGTTGTGAACACAGCGGCAATGAAATGGATGCGCGTGTGTCTCTGCTGTAGACTGTAGGGTCCTCGGACACAAACTCGGGAGTGGACAGCTGCACCACATGGCTGTTTCCCAATCTTTTTGTATGACACTTATTTTGTCATGTGAATTCAGGAGCACACGCGTGTGTGCTGCACCCACGGAGACCAGAAGAGGTGTTAGATCTGTGGTTACAGGTCCCTGATGTGGGTGCTGGGAACTGAACCTATGTCCTTTGCAGGAATGGTAAATGCTCTTAACCATTGAGCCATCTCTCTAGCTTTGTCATTTTATTTTTCCTTAGTTTGTTTGATCATGGCCATTCTGACTTCGGTGAGATAGAATTGCAAAGTTTACATTTGCATTTTCCAGATTGAACGTAAAATTCTTATTTATATAATGATAGTCTGTGTTTCTTCCTTTGGGAACTATTTATTTCATCAGCCCATTTATTGATGGACAGTTTTGTTTAGTTCTCTGCTGTGGTGATATATTATTTATAATTATTTATTAAAGCTTGCATGAGGAGTCAGAAAGCAAAGTCAGCTAGAAGCTATAGAGATCAGGTGGTGGTTATACACACCTTTAATCCCAGCAGCCAGGAGCTAGGAGGTGGTGGTACACACCTTTAATCCTAGGACTCAGGGTTAAGAGGTAGATGGATCTCTGAGTCCAAGGCCGCCCAGATCTACACAAGATTGATTCAGTCCTAAAGAGAAACAGCTTACTCAAAGATGATCTCAGCACCTGGGACCATGCACTTTTAATCCCAGCACTAGAGGGGTATAAAAAAATAGGTGTGTAGTGCCTATTGGGTTTCCTTAACTGCAAAAGCAGAAGGTTTTTATTTTTATTGCTAAGAACTGAACCGGCCGGGACCTCACTCTATCAGAAGAGTGAGGTGCCCGCTTACAATTGCGAAGGAAGCGTTTTTAAAGGGAAAGGGAGGTTTGAGATTGCTAGTCTCAGCCCATAAGCTTTCCAAGGTTACAGAGATTTCACAGAGAACAAAGCTTTTACAAGGCGGGATTGTTTAGTGCACCTGCAAGATTTGGGGGTTTTCTTTCTCTAGGACCAGCGGGCTCAGTGGCCTTGTCCTTAAGATAATGGGGGGGGGGGAGGCAGGGAGAATGTCCTCTCCAGCCCGGGAGTTATCTGTATCTACGGGCAGAAGCACTTGCTCTTTCTGGCTTTCCTTTCTTGCCATGAGACCCGTATCTTTTAGTTATTAATTTTCCCTCACAAGGAGCAGGGTCTTCAGTAGTCAGTATCAGGCATCCAGTCTCCAGCAACACTGAGGATAGGAAGACACTGAGGTCTCAGGATTCTCCAGCCACACTGAGGCTGAGGAGAGGCAGCGGTCTGAGGTTTGGTGGAGCCAGGACCGCCTTTCAGTCGGAGGTAGAGAGAGAGAGAGCTAGTGGCTGGCTGCTCTGCTTCTCTGATACTCAGCCTGAAGTTGGAACTCCAATTTCTGCCTCTGGGTCTTTTACTTTTTGTGCTATAATCTGTGTGATTGTTTCAGCTTATCTTAGTTAGGGTTACTATTGCTGTGAAGAAACACCATGGCCAAAAGCAAGCTGGGGATGATACTAGCTTGTATCAAGTCGACATAAAGCTAGCCGACACGCAGTTGTTTATATATTCTAAACTTTAACTTCCCTGTCTGAGGAGTGGCTGTTTCCGATTGTGCTCCATCCTGACGATGTTGCCTGTGCTGGGTGGAAACTTTAACCTTTCTCGTTCCATTTCTCCGCTCTTACACAGTGCTGTTTGCTGTTCAAAGAGAATAGTCTGCAAGGCAGACAGGGACAAGCCGTGCTTCCAATGGGGAGAGGCACGGACTTCAGGGCTTAGCTGTTTTGTTTGAGGTCTGAGTCATCTGAAGTGAGTCACCTGTCAGGAGCCTCAGAGGGCATCTGCCACTGTCCCATGAGAGCTGGGCTGCATAGCGAGAATAGAATGAACAGTGCCCACTGGTGAGGGGTTGCAAGCATTTCAGCCTTCCCAGGGACAGCTGTTGCTGATGAATTTATGTCACCATACAAATGTATTTAAGTTATGATAAAAAGGCACAATGCATTTCCATGTTTAATGGCGTGTTTGGCTCAATCCCTTCACACCCTACCTTCTTCTGGGTCAGAATTTTCTTTCATTTTATTTTCATTCCTCAGTCATTGAATTTTACCCGTAGAGGACCCTTCCCCCCCCCCCCCCCCCCCCGCCCCCCGACGACAGCCGTTGGATACTGTGGGCTGAGGTATCTATCCGAGCTCTCTCTGGGATCGTGTGAGCAAACTTCCGGAGGGGGGGGTGTTCACAGTCTTTGTGCTGTGAGTTTCAGCGGCCGGATTCTCCCTTCTCAGGGGGATTTCCCCTTTCTGTAGAGCAGGTTGGGTGCAATTGCAGGTTACCCTGGAGAACGTAAAAGGTCGAAGCTAACAGCTCTGTGCCCAAGATGCAGATAGATTCAGATGCCAGGCCCCTGTTACCCAGTAGGCAGGGCTTCAAGCTGTCAGTCAACCTGAGCTTTCCGGTAATTAGACTCTGGCTCACTACCCTGCTGGCTGGCTCTCAGTTCCTGCTTCCACTTTAAAACTAATCTGTGTGTCTCTCCCGTTATCATCAGAGAAGGGTGTCCTGTCCTGCTGGGACCCGGAGATCCCCTTGTGTGGAAGCCCAGCTTTTCTCTGTGATTTATGGACTCTCACCCTGGCAGGCAGAGCCCAGGGCAAAAGCCTCCTAGACTGGCTTGCTTCTGTCCTGGTTTCCCCATCGGCCAGGAGCAAACTCTCAAACGCCACAGTCCAGCCTGGGGCAGCTTGTTGCTGCGGCTGGGCCCATACTCCTCTCCTCTGCAGCCCCTGCAGCCATTGCAGCCTCCCGGAGCGGACTCTCCCGGAGCCCAGCACATCCAGACTGCTTTGCCGTGTTCCTAGAACCGCATTGTTTCTTTCTTAGAAGCTGTGAAGGGACCGTAGCCATCACCACCTTGGTTTCTTCCTCAGCCGGGCACGTGGTATTTCCAAGTTAATCTGAACACTTTCCATTGTTCGGCAATGAAATGTGACTTTAGCTCAATTCCTTCAATTTCTTGAGAAATTAACTTTTTGGAACCGAAGTTCCAAATTGGCTAAAGTTATGATTTTTTTTCTCCAATTGTGCATAATTGTGAAGTTTCCTGTGGATGTGTCATGAGAAGTTTTACCTTTGGAGAGGACGTAGACAAAGTCTACCCACTTCCTTCTAAAGAGCAGGGCATGGGGGAGGGTTTACTAGTAGGAGTGTGGGTGACTTGGAGTACTGCATCAAGCATGATGACTCCTCTGTGTCTGCGTAGATGGGGTCCCCTGCCTTCATTGTTCCCTAGCCTATGTACTCAACCCCTCCCCGAGCCCCTGAGGCCATGCCCCATTAGGGCAGAAGCATGCACCACGAGCTGGCTGCTCGCGCAGGGGTTCAATGGCCCTCCCATCTGCTCCTTCTCTGAAGGAGTGTCTTGCAGTCTGTCAGCCTTGGGTCAGTCAGCCCTACTGGGATGATCTGCAAACAGGCACACGTGTTCAGAAAAGGAAGGTAGCAGTTTGGCTCGGAGGATGACGACATCACAGTTGCCTTGCCAGGAGAGAAAACCAAGTTGCAACCAAACAAATTT